AGATCGGGATTTCTTCTTCCGGCGATCTTGTCAACATAGCCAGCGAGGCTCCCGTGAGTAATCTCATCTGATGCCTTTATTTCCCCCTATAGCCCTCACACCGGCCATGGAGCTGTTTTTACTTACCTTCAGCCATCATTAAGCCGGCTGATTGCTTCCCTGCTGTGCACATTTAAAGGGCATGTCCATCCTGTTTGGCCACCAGGGGCTTGTTTTGCTTCGTAATGCTGCCGGACCCCACCAGCCCTGGCGTTTCACGTATAATGGAACCACTGGCTTATGTGGGTCGCACTCGTGGACTGTTTTCGTGCCCCGCCCCCCCCCCTTTCACCGCTCTGCTGTCATTTTAGCTGAATGTTACTGTTAAACGGTTTCTAAATTGAAGTATTAAAAAAAATATTAGGAGGGTTTCCAATTAAGTTTGGGTGATCATTTTTTTTTTGGTCCTTGGCCGGCGTAATTTTTATTACCATGGCAACGTACGCATGGCTGGTTGCCCCGCCCCATCTAACCCACAGGACCTGTGATAACTAACCTTTGCCCGTATTCCCGGTAAATATCTCCCAGACGTCAGGTGGTAGGTGTCCACGGTAAATCGGAAGCAGTGTTCTGTGTCCCTGGGGGCCATCTTGGAGGCTTAGGTGTGGTAAGGAGTTTGATAGAGACTAAGGGAACTTCTGCCCAGTCATATGATGGGTTGCAAGGTTCAAGCTTTTCTTCTGAGGCTTTGATTGGTCAGACGAGGGCAGTTGAGGCTCTGAAGATGGCACATGTTGACCAACGGTCTACTTTGCATAGCGATCATAGTGGGGGTGGAAGGAGGACATCCCCCACCAGGAAGCTGAGGCACCTCTTGTGGTGTGAGCCGTTGCCTCCCATGGAGGTGGACATCCATGCACCTTCCATGCACCTTCCATGTTCTTCTGACGTCACTATCCATCCAACGTTGGGACGTGATGAAGCACCATGGCACTTGAAGAATAGCGTCTGAGGCTCTGAATGGTCCACACCAGTTAAAGGACCATATTCAGTTCTTGGGGGAACCCCAGCAGGGATAGTTATGCCTACTGCTCCTGGTACATTAGCGTCATCTGATGTGTGTGTGTGTGTGTATAAAAGATGAGAATTGGGAACATGATCGGCCTAGACACCCAGAGGGGTTCATCTTCCATCACCCCCTTCTGATCTAAACATCATTATTAGCTTCAGTAATGACCAAGACCTGAAACTTAGAAAAAGGTTGACTATAAAAGATGAGCGGACTGTGGGAATTGAAGTGTCCATTTAGTCCTTTGCACTGGCAGTCGCTGCAAGAAGGGCCCCTTTGGGTTGTTGAGGGAAAGGCCTCCTATGGTTGGTGGGTGTGGGTAGGAAGGGGCATCTTGGGTTGGTGGGGAAGGGGTGACTTGGGTTGATGGCTGGTACGGAAAGGGGCATCTTGGGTTGGTGGTTCGTAGGGAAAGGAGCATCTTGAGTTGGTGGAGGAAGGGGTGACTTGGGTTGATGGCTGGTAGGGGAAGGGGCATCTTGGATTGGTGGAGGAAGGTGTGACTTGGGTTGATGGCTGGTAGGGGAAGGGGCATCTTGGATTGGCGGAGGAAGGTGTGACTTGGGTCAACAGCTGGTACAGAAAGGGGCATCTTGGGTTGGTGGAGGAAGATGTGACTTGGGTCGTTAACTGGTACAGAAAGGGGCATCTTGGATTGGTGGAGGAGGGGGTGACTTGGGTCGTTAGCTGGTACAGAAAGGGGCATCTTGGGTTGGTGGAGGAAGATGTGACTTGGGTCGTTAACTGGTACAGAAAGGGGCATCTTGGGTTGGTGGAGGAAGGTGTGACTTGGGTCGACAGCTGGTACAGAAAGGGGCATCTTGGGTTGGTGGAGGAAGGTGTGACTTGGGTCGTTAACTGGTACAGAAAGGGGCATCTTGGGTTGGTGGAGGAAGGTGTGACTTGGGTCGACAGCTGGTACAGAAAGGGGCATCTTGGGTTGATGGAGGAAGGTGTGACTTGGGTCGTTAGCTGGTACAGAAAGGGGCATCTTGGGTTGGTGGAGGAAGGGGTGACTTGGGACAGCAGCTGGTGAGGGAAGAGACACTTGCAGTCATTGGGGAAAGGGAGCACCTTGGCCAGTTGGTGGAGCAAGGGTTGCCAACAGACCTGTGGTTGATGGTGGTGGCTGGGGGGAGCAGTGGGAAGAGGACCCTTTTGGATTTGCATTACTTCCCCCAGAGATGAGAAGAACATTGGTCCCGTGATGCTTGCTCTGCCAAGTGATGTTGCTGGCACTGTGGAGTCAATAGTGAGTAGTAGATCAATCCATCACTACACCAGCACCTCCTAGCAACCTCTGGATGAACCCTGGTTCAGAAAGTCTGGTCTAGTGGCTTTGACCATCGTGGAGGCTCCATAGGCTGGAGGAACCTATTGGTTATAGTAAGAAGGTGCTACTTTGGGAACCTAATGTTGGGTTGGGAAACCCTCTGGAATGTCTGACTTCTTGTAGCTGTGACCCCTACGTAGCTGATGCGATGACTCTTGGAACAACTATTTTTCTGAAAGGAAAGTCCTCCGAAGGGCAAAATTGATGATTTTCTAGTTTATTGGGAATTAGGGGGTGAGCCCAATGTGGGAACCAGATCCTCCTACCAGGCCTCATCTTTCAGAAACTCGTCCGGCAGACGCCGGTTAGAGGGAAAGTGGCAGAGACCTTAAATGTGAAGGCCCTAAGGCTGGGGCATGACTAAAGGAAGGCTAGAATCTTGAGAGAGAGGGTCGGGCATGTTCTATGAAGCCAAGGTGACCCGTCCATTCCATGCACCATGGCAGGTATCATTGGTGGAGGCTTTCTGGGCCTTTAATAGAGTAGTAAAGGCCAATTCTAGTCCAAACCCAACAAGGTTCCGACTCTTCCCACACTATCAAACATATAGAGTGGCTGGAGATGACATTTAAGTTGTTTAGAGGAGCATCTCATGGTCTTCGTTCTTGCCCCAAGTCCTCAAGGTGAGACATTTTGGCCCTTTGGGGGCACCTTGTCCCCTTGAAACCCCTAGCACACCAAGCAGCCCATTCAAGTGGAGGACACACGGAGAGCTGAGCTAATATGGAAAAGCGAGGCCAGTATGGGATGGTCTCCAGATCTCTCATACCTTGTTTTGGGCTTTGTGGGCCTTCCAGTTGTCTCGGCGCGGTGTAACTGTTTTGGTCTCTTTCAATCTGCAGCTGGATTGGTGCGCCCTATGTTTATTTTACCCCCGCCGCAGACGGACGACGTTCACAGCATATAGCGGGATCCAAACAACATGTCCGCAGAGGTAGGTGGGCAGCAGGATTTGTGGCGTTGTTCAGCTCCGACTGTACGATCCAATCAAATCTGGCCCCATTTCTGCTTCAGTGTAGACTTCTGATTGGCCATTGCAAGTAAATTAATAATATCATTTTTGTATTAGTTTTCCTTTAATGTATTAATAATAAATACATAGAGAAATTATATTAATCCTTTTTTAATCAAATTAAATATTATTTTTAATATTATACAATTATTCATATGATTTTTTTGCATGTGTTTTTTATTAATAGGAGCTGTATATGTCTATATAATGTATTTTATTTATTTCTTTTATTTTTTTTTATTATTTGTAATCGTAGAGAGTGTTGACAGCGGTTGTGAAGATCAAAGAGGAGGAAATTCCTGCAGATATCAGCATGGGTAAGTGACAAAGAACCCAGCGCCGAGTTCTCGGCAAGGTTCTTCCGCCCCATGTAAAACGATCCCTTACATTACCGCCGAGAGCCATTCAGCAGCTGTGCCAGCTGTACTGCCTGATATGAAGATGTCCTCTAGAGGGCGCCCTGCAGATCCGTGGTATGACATAAGCTGAACTTGCCTTGTCCATTAACAGATGGGGTCAGCCATAGATCCACCCGGGAAAAAGGGACGAGCTGCCGCCAAGAACAGGATTACAGAGACGAGGACGTCCACCACCCTGTGAAGGTAACGGCATGGAGTCTGATGACCCGCGTGCTGGCTAATCTAATGTCTCTAGATGTCCTCTTCTCTGCTGTGCATTGCCCCCGAATAATCTTGTGTCCCCCCCTCCCCCTTGTGGCTGTTTAGGAGGAAAATCAAAATCTTAACATCGTGGTGGTGGACATCGGGCCGGAGAACGCCAGAGGGAACGAGATGGGCATGAGGATGGACGACATGGAGATGCACCCGGATACCCGGACTCGTGAGTGTTGTAGGGATTTCTATCCGTCGTTGAGTACAATTACAGGCGAGTCATCCCCTCTCCATATACTTTATACTGACCCCCCCTTTTCTTTCCCCCCCCCCAGCATACAGAAAACCGAGGAAGGGGTACATGAGGAAGCCCTACAAAAAGTGGTGGTCCCCCGCGAAAAACCATGGCGTGGTCCATAAGGTAACCTTAGATTTCATACACTTCAGATCAGACGTTCTCCTTATCTGTGTGAATAGATGTGCTCGGATTTTTAATTTAGAGAGGAAGACGTGTGGGCCCAATACATAGAGAGGTTCGGCTTCCTGCACTCTATGGTCAAACTCTATGGTTCCCTCGTTTCCATGCACTCTATGGGCAGGCCATGGTGGAGGGCCAAGGTTTGCTACCCCTGGTACACAGGCACGAGTAATGAAAATAAATGTTAAGTGAACTTAAAGTCCATCGCTCCCCCACCACACCCCACCCCTTTAGTCACATGACTTGGCACCAGGGTCCAGCAGAACCTCAAGCCATGTCCGTAAAGCACATTGATTTCCCCCATATACCCAGAGTTAGGCAAATGCTGCGTTCTGGTCTGAGGTTGGCTTCTGTAAGGTGAGGAGGGAGGTGGCCATTAAAGGAATCACTTGTTATCTCGGGCCCCAGGTGTCCCAGCTATCCTAGCTATCCTAGGTATCTCCAGCTGTCCTAGGTATCTCCAGCTGTCCTAGGTATCTCCAGCTGTCCTAGGTATCTCCAGCTGTCCTAGGTATCTCCGGTCCACATTCATGATTTCAGCATGTCTGGTGAGCTCCATATTGGGTCATTTATCCCTGGTGACCCTTCTTGAGTCCAAAGTAGGTTTCCCTATCGAAGGATAAGGTGTCTCCAGTTATGTTACTCTATGGTGATTGGGCTTTACTTGTCCCTCTGATCACCATTCAGTTTGTGGCCTCGTTTAGTAGGCCCTCACATTGTTAGATCCTCAAAAACATGGACCAGCAAGCAAAAAAAAAAATGTAAGAACCATGTCCAAGCCGACCTTCCGGTCAATGGTATAAGTCCCGCCTCAAACCTGACTTTACTGTTTGCTAGATGAAATACGTGAGGAAGAGGTTGCCTTCAGAATACATCATGAACCCGGAATTCCTGAAGGAGTTCATCACCATGTACCGCGCCTTCCCGTGCCTGTGGAATGTCAAATTCGCCGACTACTCCAACAAGCAGAAGCGGATGAAGGCCTACGAGCAGCTCGTGCAGCTGTGCCGCACCGTGTGCCCGACGGCCAACGTCCAGTTCGTCAAGCACAAGATCGCCAACCTGCGGACGGTCTTCAAGAAGGAGTACAACAAAGTCCAGGTGTCCAAGAGGACGGCCGCGTGCGCCGCCGACGTCTACGTGCCGCGGCTCTGGTACTTCGACCTGCTGAAGTTCACACTGAGCCCGGACCTCCTAGAGGACGACGGCACGCTGAGCGCCTTGGACCTGCCCAGCATGGTCGGTTTGCCCAGCACCCCCAGCGCACTGAAGATGCCCGATACGCCGGAACCTCAGGAATCGCAGATGGAGGAGGAAGTGAAGGTGAACCATGAAATTCTGGAAGAGTCTACAAACGTGTCTCAGGTAGGAACGACGTTAAAAATGTGTCAGTGGTCGAGCGAAACAAAAATTCAGGATTTGGCGGGAAAAAAAAGTCTTGCCCTTAGCTTTTTTTAAATGTTGCAGCCCAACTTTCTGCAGGGGTGGGAGGGGAGGAGACATGGGCAGCTGTTCTAAGTTTCCCTTGCCATCCCTTTACAAATACATGTTCCTCACTTGTCCATGTTACCTAGGCCTTCGTCTTTAGTACATCGCAACCGGGAATGGTGGGGATCTGCCAACTGCAGCCATCTTTTCTGGGTCCCTGAAGAAGGCGTCTACAGAATTAACGCAGCCAATCAAAGTGTCTGGGGTTGTGTAGTGTTGAAGAGTCCTTCAGTGGACACTCCCTCATTGCCTATTATACTAGCTATATCTCCATCTGACAAGGTTTTACAATCCGACAGCCAGCATATTATTAAACAGAACGATATAAACGAATGATGGACGGAGGGTGCTAGACGGAATGCAGAAGGGTCATGAAACCTCTTAATACGCTCGGTTGGACAATCCTAATTCTGAAAAAGTTGGGACGTTATACAACGCCTGATGGACACAATATATGATCTGTATCCTATGTAGGACTCTCTTAGGAGGGGTAATGTGTCCCATCAGCCTTCTGCAGCTTGTACTATGGGTGTGTTTGGTATCTAAGCGATTGGCATTCTCCTATACATGAGTGTGACTGCTTTTTATGAATGTAACTCCCTTATTGTAGGAGTTATGGAATATGAGAGCACTTGAGGGTGTGAGATGTATGAAAGTGCAGTTTTAGGTCAAATAAAACCAGATCTTCACAAGTGTATTGCTTCTAAACTAACGTACAACCCCAATTCCCCAAAAAGTTGGGGGCCCTGTGTAAAAAATCTACATAAATGATTCAATTCAATGATCTGAAAATCTTATAAACCCAAATTGTATTCCCCCCACGCTCACCCGCCCTGCACGCCCATGACAAGATGTATCCTGTCAGCGTCTGAGACGGGACACCCGCACCCGTACGTACCTGCACTTGAGGTGAGCGTTGGGGGACGCGGGGGGGGGGGGGGGGGGGGGGGGGGGGGGGGGGCGTACGGCTGCGTATTCCCATGGAGAAGGACAGGGGCTGCGTACTAATCGCACGTAGCACCCGTCCTTCCCGGGAACTGCCTGATACGGCCGTAGCTGTACGTGCCGGCCGATTCGAGTGTGAATGAGGCCTAAAAGTTGGGACAGGGCAACAAAAAAGCTGGCACAGTAAGTGGTACTGACAAGGAAGAGCTGGAAGGACATTTTTCACCTTTTTATTAAGTTAATTGGCAACAGGTCAGTCACATTATTGGGTATAAAAAGAGCATCTTCGAGAGTCGGAGTGTCTGAGAAGTAAAGATGGGCCGAGGTTCACCAGCGTGTCTGAGAAGTAAAGATGGGCCGAGGTTCACCAGCGTGTCTGAGAAGTAAAGATGGGCCGAGGTTCACCAGCGTGTCTGAGAAGTAAAGATGGGCCGAGGTTCACCAGCGTGTCTGAGAAGTAAAGATGGGCCGAGGTTCACCAGCGTGTCTGAGAAGTAAAGATGGGCCGAGGTTCGCCAGCGTGTCTGAGAAGTAAAGATGGGCCGAGGTTCGCCAGCGTGTCTGAGAAGTAAAGATGGGCCGACTCTGTGATGGACATCACTGCATGGGCTCAGGAATTCTTCCAAATATCACTGTCTGTGGGCGCAGTTCGCCGTGCCATCTAAAAATGCCAGTTAAAACTCTACCATGCAAAGAAGAAGCCGTATCTGACATGATCCAAAAACACTGCGGTCTTCTCTGGGCCAAAGCTCATTTAAAATGGTCTGTTACAAGGTGGAAAACTGTTCTCTGGTCGGGCAAATTGAAATTTGACAACCATGGGTGCCGCATCCTCCCGACCTAAAGAGGAGAGAAAGCTTCCGGTTAATCAGCACTCGGTTCAAAAGCCTGCATCTCTGATGGTATGGAGGTGCGTTCGTGTGTATGGAATGGGCACCTCTGATGGTATGGAGGTGCGTTAGTGTGTATGGAATGGGCACCTCTGGTGGTATGGGGGTGCGTTGGTGTGTATGGAATGGGCACCTCTGGTGGTATGGAGGTGCGTTAGTGTGTATGGAATGGGCACCTCTGGTGGTATGGGGGTGCATTAGTGTTTATAGAATCCAGATGACGTCTTTTTCAGGGAAGGCCTTGTATATCTCAGCAGGACAATGCTAGACCGCATAGTGCGTCTATGACATCAGCATGACTTCCTAGAAGAAGAGTCCGGGTGCTTAACGGGCCTGCCTACAGTCCAGACCTTTCACTAATTGACAATATTTGGCGCATCTTGAAACAAAAAATACGACAAAGAAGACCCGGGACTGTTGAGCAGTTAGAATCCCATATCAGGCAAGAACGGGACAACATTCCTCTCCCAAAACTCCAGCAACTGGTCTCCTCAGTTCCCCGACGTTCATACATCTCAAACTCCCGTATTCCATAACTCCTACAGTAAGGGAGCTGCATTCATAAAAAGCAGTCGCACTCATGTATAAGAAAATGCCAATCGCTTAGATACCAAACACACCCATAGTACAAGGTGCAGAAGGCTGATGGGACACATTAAACCTCCTAAGAGAGACCTACATAGACACCATATATGATCTGGATCCTATCAGTCGTTGTATAGCCTCCAAACTTTTTCGGAATTGGGATTCTCCAACCGAGCTTATTAAGAGGTTTTATGACCCTTCTGCATTCCGTCTAACATTCTCTGCTTTGTGCTATAAGCTGAGCTGCATCCTAGTGGGGCGGGGGGGTTAGGAAATGTCAAGCAAACCAAACGAAATGTGTCACCTTCTCTGGCTGCCCACCACGTGAGATTGAAATCTGATCATCCCTGTTGCTGACTTGTGCTTTTTGGGGACAATGAGGGTGGCACTGTGTTCATTACAATTCTCTTCCCTCCCACCTTACCTATGGTATACACAATTTGGGGTTCCTTAAGACATCGTTATCATCACCACGTCTGTAGGTGGCTTTATCAGGTAGGAAGTTTGAACTGCCAACCTATTCATATTCAGGGTTCCCATATAGACCTGGGGGGGAGGGGGGGGCGGCAGAAGGAGGAGCAAGAAGAACAGATGAAAGGGTATAATAGCTTGCTTGGTATAGGCAGGGGGCCCATTTCAGATACCCATGGGTGGGGGCAGATGACCTTCAAAGTTTTTGTGCCAAGAAAATGACCAGGAAGGGCAACAAAATTTAAAATCCAGTTACGTTTCTTCATCTCCTTTCCAGGTGACCAGCAACAGCCAATCGGACGACGTGGAGTTGGAGATCCATGACGAAATCATGGCTTCCATCCGGCGGCAGAGGAAAAAAAAAATGTACAATAACACTAGTGAAGAAGAACTCGGAGAGCGCCTGCTGACTCAAGCCGCGGCACTCCTCACCAAGAACAATGACGAGTTTGACGCCTTCGGCTTCATGGTCTCGTCCAAGCTGCGCAGGATGGACGAGCAGCAGAGACTGTTGGCCGAGGTCCTCATCATGGAAGTCTTATACAAGGGCATGTTGGGCCAGCTGACGGAAGACAGCCTCGTGTGCCAGTATCCCGCGCAGTTCTACCAGAACCAGCCCTCGAGCTGACCGCTCCACTGCCCCGGCGATGCCCACCCTCACCAAATAGCCCTGGCCAACCACCCTGCCCTTTCATGAGGTTCCTCCAGGAAAGCGTAAAAGCCTTCCACACTTATGGGGGCGTCAGGATATTTACAACTCGCAGCTCGTTAACCTTCATGGGATGAGCTAACGAATGGTGGGCACACCCAACATCAGCCATGCCAAGGAAGATTTTTCTTTAAGAAGGTTCTGCTGTAGGTTCCTGTGTGGCAAGACCTCCCTTGGCATAGGGTTCACCCAGCCCTCCGAGATCCTGTGAAACTTAATGTCCTGGGGGCTGTAAGTCGGTCAACTGCTTGAGCCCCCCCCCCACCTCTCCCGTGTATGTGGAAACATTTTATACCTTTCCTGGGGAATTGTTCAACCCCCAAAAATGAGGATGGATCACGTTGAGGTTTTTTCTCTTTTTTTTTTGGTTCTTTTTTTGGAGAATGTTTAGATGGTAGAAGCCACTGTGAAGGTTAGTCTCCTTAAAGGGGTAGACTGTTGTGTTCCATTTTATGAGTAGACCGTGGTGAACAAAACCACCCAAGGACTTAACTCTTGGCCAGTCTAGCGAAGGGATCTCCATTCATGAGTAGACCATGGTCAACTAAACCACCCAATGGCTTTTCTCTTGCTCATTCTAGCGAAGGGATCTCCATTTATGAGTAGACAGTGGTCAACTAAACCACTCAACAGCTTATCTCTTGCTCAGTCTAGCGAAGGGATCTCCATCTGGGTAGACTGTGGTCAACTAAACCACCCAATGGCTTATCTCTTGCTCAGTCTAGGGAAGGGATCTCCATTTGGGTAGACTATGGTTACCCATGGCTTATCTCTTGGTCAGTCTAGCGAAGAGATCTCCATCTATAAGTGGACCATGGTCAACTAAACCACCCAATGGTTTATGTCTTGCTCATCTAGCGATGAGATCTCCATTTGAGTAGACCATGGTCAACTACACCACCCAATGGCTTATCTCTTGGTCAGTCTGGCGACGAGATCTCCATCTAGGAGTAGACCGTGGTCAACTAAACCGCCCAACGGCTTATCTCTTGGTCAGTCTAGTGAAGGGATCTCCATGTATGAGTAGACTGTGGTTAACTAAACCACCCAATGACTTATCTCTTGGTCAGTCTAGCGAAGGGATCTCCATCTGGGTAGACTGTGGTCAACTAAACCACCCAATGGCTTATCTCTTGTTCAGTCTGGCAACGAGATCTCTGCCCTTAAGTCTCCAAATCTGCCTCTTAAGGGATCCAGTGGTTGAGGAAACCCCCCTTCGTGACGATTGCATCCAATGAGAAGTCGGTGAACGCAGAGAGCTACCGGCAAGAGAACTCAAATTTCCCTTTGGGGTGGATGTTGGTTCTGATAGCTAAAATCTCATCCAAAGATATCCCTCTGTTTTTGTTTTTTTTCCAATTGTATTTCAAAATAGCCTTTCAACTGATCTACACCAGCAAGTATGCAAATTTAATATATATATATATATATCTACATAGAATGACTTTAGAATTAGAGCGATTGCATCTGCAGACAGTAGGGAGGGTAGACACTGTGCTTTTTGTTTGTTTTTTTCTTTTTCCCCCATTGTGAAAGTTTGGATACAGTATAACCTGTCAGGTTTTGATGTGTTCTCAAGTATTAGCCACACCCTGCTGTATTGTTAAGGCCTGACCTTTTCGCGAGGAACGCTGGGAGGTTAGGTGTGACAAGCTCTGATGTCCTGAGGGAACAAAGAAGAGAAGGTAAATAGGAGGAGATGCAAAAACTAAAAGAGGGTGGAAGCCCAAATCAGACTTTTTCACCTCCCAAATTTGTTTCTTGACCATTGAGGCGTACAGGTAGTCTTTCCCCTTTTTCGTTATAATGCCACCTACAGGAGGATTGGACACTGGCTAACAAAAACCTGTAGGCTATCCCAGGACCAGGAGAACCCCCTCCTACATCCAGCATGCCTTAGTTCTTTTGCTGGTGGTCTAGGCCTTCCCAAATGTGGAAATTAGCAGGCCAACGTCTTCAGCCGGCAGCTGCGTCCCAGGTGTAGGAAGCCACATGAGGACCTTCTGGCCTCCCAAGGTTCTATAACAAAGAACCAGCATGCCTCCATTTTGTGATGGTGGCCTAGGCCCTCCCAAGTGTGGAAAGTGGCAGGCAGACTTTCTCAGCCGGCAGATTTGTCACCATTGTGGGAAGCAACATGAGGTCCTTCTGGCCTCCCAGGTTCTACAACAAATGACCAGCATTCCTCCATGTTTTTTGGACTGTCCTAGGCCTTGCTGCTGCAACATCCAGTTCTGAGCAGAACTCCACATTCCAGTCTTGTCTGCTGTCCAAATCCCAGGTGTGGAAATTGGCAGGCAGACTTCTTCAGCTAGCAGATAGTGGTGTCTACACCAGGTGGTGTTTGTGGACCGGTGTAGTAGGCTACATGAGGACCTCTTGGCCTCCAGGTTGTACAACAAATTGGACAGGTTTGTCTCCAGGTACAGGGATCTTTTATGAGAAGCAGTGGATGTTCTTGTGGTTCTGTGGGATCATTATACCCTCTGATGAAACATGTTCCTCACTTTCTTTGCAGGATGGAGATGGAGGATATTCTGGTTTACCTCATTGCTTCGGATTGGCCCAAGTGGCTTTGGTATTCCAACCTGGTAAAACTCCTAATGGACACTCCATGGGCTTTACCAGATTGTTTGGATCTTCTGTCTCAAGGACCCACTTGCCATCCTGCTTCATGGTTGCTGGCTTTAACAGCACGGCTGTTTGAAGCCCAGACAGGTGCATTCCTGAAGTAGTGTTGAAGGCTAGGAAGCCTACTTCTCCGAAGTTCTGTCGCCAAACATGAAAGGCGTACCTCACTTGGTGTGCGTCTTGCCGGTTCCACCCTAGGAGGTCCTCCGTGGGAGTATCAAATTGCTGTTTCTTAGATTTCCAAGGCTGCCATCTGGTTTTCTGTTCGCGTGTTCAGTTCTACCAGGTGGATGTTCAAGCTTCATCTGATGCCATCTTCGGGTATAAGGTCCTTCTGGTGGCTCTTTAAGCAGTCCCCAGTTTTCTGTTTGTTGTGGGCCTTTTAGCGCCTGTTTACCACGTTGCCCACTCCTCAGTTGGACTACCTTTTTGGATGTCCCGTAGGTGAAGGACTTCCTGTTTCCCTAAATGGAAGAGAAAAAGAATGGGACTTTTGTACTCACCGAAAAAAAAACCTTCATGGAGTCCATTGCGGGGCACCAGTCCCACCCTTCTGTCTTCACGATCATGCTCTGGGGACGGGCTTGTTACAAACTGAGACACGCTGGGAGCAGGCGGGACTATGCTGGGCTGACCTCCAGTTTTGTTTGCCAGTGTTCAATTCTCCTGTAGGCAGCAGTATAACCCGAAGGTGAAATAATTCCTGTGTCCCTCCAGGAAAAGGATTTATATGAAGAATAGGTCCGACATGCACAATGAATATCTTTTCTTGTCCTTTGGTATGAGAAAGGGAGCAATCCTTCACCCAATGAAAGCCAAATCCTCAATGTTATTGGTCCAGTTACAGGACGTATTGGATGGCTTCAGAATTGCTATATCAACGTTCAGCTAAATAGGGGTTACAATGTCCTCCCGGGTTCCAAGGAATTCCCCTTTTTAGCCTTCATCTTCCCACATGTGGAGGTAGAATTGCTTTCCCCAGGAGCTGACCATTACTTCTCAGCTATAATTTCCCATTGTCCTCGCCTACTCTGCGGCGCTTACAGAGTAGGTAGACTGTTCAAAGTTGAGCTGCTGACCCCCCCCCCCCCCTGCTCGCGAATGCCGGTGGGGGGGGGGGGGGGAGAAAAGTGGGATTATAATGAGAAGAGAACAGTATTTCATAGCACCTACAATATTGAAGTCCCCGCCCCTGAGGAGCTTAGATTAATTTTGCATTACTCTAGTGCATTTTCTAAAGGGTAGGGGGATCTTATTGGCTGCTTTTGGGCAGTGAGGTCCATTTTTTGTTTTCCTTCCGTTGCTTTAAAGTCCCACACCTCATTCATTGGAGCTTTTTTTTTTTTT